CAGTAAGGCATCGTCTATAAAGTACGTACGCTCGGAGAGGGGTTTGTAGATGGCGTATATGAGATGGGGTGGGGAGCGTATGGCAAAATGCACAGGGGGGGGGAGGGTTGTCGAAAAAAAAAGCGTACGTACTTTATGGACAACCCCTAAATGTAAAAGAAGCGAAATTGCTAAACTGTTCAATTTTTTTTTTCGTTTACTCTTACCCATTTCGCTCTACTTAATCAGATATTCAAATAACAGCTATAAACCAAGAGTTATTTTGTGGTAACTGAACTTTCAATCTTAAATAAGGAACTGAAGATATGGAATAAAATACTTTCAAATGAACTTCATACAGTAACAACATTAATGAATTTAAGACAAAATTGAGGCAGGTATTACTAATAAATTACTGCAAAGCTATTTCTGAGATTGTGTGGATTGGCATAAGTGTGGATCCTATGCCAATGTTTTCAAATTCTTTTGGCGTATTTATGCCAGTTTTTAAACATTTTTTTGGCGCACATATGTCAGTTCACAATGATGTGACAACTGCTATAAGTGCTAATTTATGATTTGCACTTATAGCAGTTCGCACTTATGCTAATGTTTGCAACTGCATTTGTATATAAGCATTATAGATAAAGTAGATAAAGCATTTATATATTAAAAAAAAAAAATGGACATCACAATGAAAAACATTGAAAAAATAGTTTCAAGTAAACTTGAGGAGCACAAAATAAGTATCCTAAAAGAAACGGAAAGATTGTTAAAAGACCAGGAAAAATCATTTACCTCAATTATCAGTGCAAATATCAAAACTATTACAGATAGATTGGACATGCTAGAGAAAGACATTAATAACAGCAAATGTAAAATATCAAATATAGAATAAGACTTATGCGACATTAAAGACAGCCTAAATTTTCAAGAAAATGATATCTCGGAAAAAATATCACAAATAAAGAAATACTATGACAAAGAAATCAATTCATTATATAAAAAATCTATAGATCTAGAAAATAGATCAAGTAGGAACAACTTAAGAATTGATGGGCTACAAGAAACACCAGGCGAAAGTTGGGAAGATTGCGAAAAAGCTGTTAAAGACATTTTCAAAACACTATTAAAAATACCTAGTGAAGTGGTGGTCGAACGAGCTCATCGAATCGGACAATTTAAAGAAAACAAACCAAGAACATTAGTCTTAAAACTCTTGAACTACCAAGACAAAAACGAAATTCTCAAAGCAGTAAAACAACTTAAAGGAACAGGACTATACAACTTAAAGGAACAGGACTATACATAAATGAAGACTTCGCTTAAAAAGTTATTCTTTATTGGGGACCTCAACATAGATTGTTTAAAATGCAATGAGTTTCCGATTACTAAATTATTTTTTGATAACATGTTTCAGCATTGTATTTTACCAATTATCAATAAACCCACATGGGTAACCTAAAATTCTATTTCTGCCATAGATAACATACTAACAAACTCATTTCTAGATACCTCCTCAAAAGCAGGAATAGTAAAAATTGATATAACAGATCATTTTCCATTTTACTTTACAATAAAAAATGATACAAGAGTAAATAATAATTTGAAAAAAATAACTTATAAAAAAAAAAAAAAAAAATTTCAATTCAAAATTTTAAAGACACACTATCGGCAGTAGATTGGGTTAAAGTGTATCAAGAATGTAACCTTGGGAACACAAACTCTGCATATAACACTTTTACAGATATTTTTCTAAAGCACTATAATAATCATTTTCCAATCAAAGAAAAAGAAATCAAAGTAAAATATTTGAGCTGTCCATGGATCACCAGCGGTATTAAAAAATCTTCAAAAACAAAACAAAAACTATACGTTAAATATTTGAAAAACAGAAATGAGATTAACCTATCTACTTATAAACAATACAAAAATCTTTTTGAAAAAATCAAAAAACATTTTAAAAAAATTTACTACTCTAAATTACTTAAAAAAACAAATGGAGACATGAAAAAAACATGGAACATTATGAAAGAAATAATCGGGAAAAAAAAAAACAAAGAAACAAATAGTTTACCAGATAGAATCCATTATAAATGAAACCGAACACGATGATAAGAACTCAATTGCCGAACACTTCAACAATTTCTTTGCAAACATAGGCCCAAACATGGCGTCTAAAATTTTAACTACAAATGACTCTTTTGAAAATTACCTAATTTTTGACGGATTAAGCTATGAAGAACTTGAAAATGCAAAAAACTCTTTAAAAATTAACAAAGCACCAGGCATTGATAAAATTTGTAGCAATGTAGTAATAAATATCTTTCCGATAATAAAAAACCCCTCTTCGAAATATTTAAATCTTGTAAAATTTGAAAATAAAAATTGTAATTTTTATTTTGTAATTTTATATATAGGTACAATTTTTATATTGTAAAAATAAAAATTGTACCTATATATAAAACTGGAGAACCATATTTACTAAACAACTATAGACCAATCTCAATCCTTCCTGTATTCTCAAAACTTCTCGAACGAATAATTTATAATTAACTATACTTATATTTAACAAACAATAACATCTTAAATAAAAAACAGTTTGGATTTCAAAAACAACATGCAACCAAACATGCAATCATAGATCTTGTAAATAGCATCAACTACTCGTTTGTTAATAATTTGTTCTAGGAATCTTTACAGATCTATCAAAAGCATTCGATACTGTTGATCATGAAATCCTGCTCAAAAAAATCGAAAAATATGGCGTAAAAAATGTTGCATTACTCTGGTTTAAAAACTTTTTGCTAAACAGACAAAAGGGGTCATATCGGGGTCCCTATCTTTTATCCAAAAATGCCATTATTACAAAGTTAGATAACATAAATTGTTTGAAAATCTTACTAAAAAAGTTCGTTTTAAATATCAGCAATTATTTGAACTTACACTAAACTAAAACTGAAAGTAAAACCAAAATTATAATTGAAAACAAAATCCAAAAAAACTTCAATAATATATATTAATATAAAAAATCAATATAAGTCAATAATAATTATATTTATGCTTAAGAATATATTTATGTGTATTATGTGTACTACAAACAGTATTTACCAACTTTTTTATTTCTACATTTTATTATATGTGAACCTAATATAAAATGAAGTATTTTGTGAAACTAGATACATTGTAAAACGAAAATACAAAAAATATTACAAGTACAAGCGGTTTCTTGATGACAAGACCATCTGGTCTTCTGCAAGTTTCCCGCGTTCTTTTAATATTAATGATACCCTACAATCATATATTTTGTATTTTATAAAATTGTGATATATTTTAAGTATTATATATTTTAAAAACATTATAACTTTGTACCAATCATGTAGAATCACAACATTATAAAGATAAAAGAACAAAAAAAAAAAAAAAAAAAAAAAAAAAATTGCATTTATACTAATTTGCACTTATGCAAGTTTGTAATTACGCCAATACGCACTTATGGAGATTCTCTGTTATGAAATTATAACTGGTCTATCCAATAAATAAGTTTATAAGTTCTACTTTTGTAAATTTTTGCTTGGTTTTCAACAACATTAAACATTTTACGTTATTATGTACAAATTTATTTAAGATTTATTTGATTTAGTTTGGTTACTAAACGTATCAAATTATTTTTATCTTTTTTATAAATATATCTAAAAGTACCTTATTTTTTCAACATCTTTTTTTTAACTAAATTAATATTATCGATAAAATTTAAATTTCCTATAATAATCATTTAGCGTTCAAAAGTGTATACTCCTTTAAGATAATCGTAACCTGAATGCATAATTTTTTATTTTTTTAAACTAATTTTTAATATTTATTTTGTTATCCATTTAAATAGGTTATCGGGAATGTTTTCTAACAAAATATATTTTATGATAATGTAATAACTTTATTTTTTATATTAACAATAACTTATGTATCATTAGCGTTTAGTTTTAATTTGTGTTCAATTGAATAGTGGTCGGTAATGTACATGGCAAGAAACCAAATACTTATCCATGATGAAGATTATTTTAAACTATATTCAAGTAAACCTTATCCTAATCAAGATATTTGACGTCTTCTAAATATAATGGTTTTGCACCAGTTTAACAACTTATCTTTTTATTCCAAATGAGTTAAGCTTTACTCATAACCAGAGACGATTCTACAAAAAAATGAGGGGGAGGGGTAAATCCTTAAAAAGTACCGACTGGCTGCGTAAAAAAAAAGGTCCTCAAAATTTAATTTTAGCCGTGTCAACGTGTCAAGTACTAGATTAGTCAACTAAATTGGTAAAAAAAATTGACTCAAACTTGAAAAATTGAATCAAACGTCTTAGCAAAATCTAAGAATGCTAAATCTACACTTTTTTTTTATAATTCTTTTAACATATTAATTTAACAAAAATTGACTTAGCATTCATTATTTAAAAAAAAAAGTTTGAAAAAATTTTAAAAAAATTTAAACTTTACTAAATAACATTTTACTATAGATGTCTAGTAACTTGAAACAAATTTATAATTGAAAAAACTTAGAGGAAAGTGAATAATTTTACACAAAAAAGTTAAGAAATGAGAAATATACTTTTAATACTAACTCCAAATTAATAACTAATATATATATATATATATATATATATATATATATATATATATATATATATATATATATTATATTAGTTATTAATTTGGAGTTAGTATTAAAAGTATATTTCTCATTTCTTAACTTTTTTGTGTAAAATTATTCACTTTCCTCTAAGTTTTTTCAATTATAAATTTGTTTCAAGTTACTAGACATCTATAGTAAAATGTTATTTAGTAAAGTTTAAATTTTTTTAAAATTTTTTCAAACTTTTTTTTTTAAATAATGAATGCTAAGTCAATTTTTGTTAAATTAATATGTTAAAAGAATTATAAAAGCTGCCAATTTAAATAACTGGTAAATTAGTATATTGTACTTAATTAATTATAAACACGGCAATGAGTCGGTTACCGTAAACTATATTCAATAGATTGGCTTTCGCATGTGATAATCAAAAGCTTTACGCAGCTGCATTCTTTAGACGCCAAACAAAATGGTTGTTGTCGGTGCTGTTGTCCTGTAAACATCCTTGTCTATCTTTTTCATCTTTATAAAAAGTTATTCAAAAAATCAATTAAAATTTAAGGTAATTATTTAAAACCGTATCTTTGTTCTTATTTTTTTGAAGCATTTATAGTAAAACAGTCTAACACACATCAAATTTAGAATGACGGCTGAGGTTGAAAAGCCGCCCAGCGAAACAAAATCACCGATTGCAGAGATCGTTAATTCAGTCGAGGATGGGCTGAAAAGTAAAGTTTCTGGTATTTTTTTTTTTTTTTTGAAGATTTTATTTTTGTATTTATTGGCACATGTTCATTCAACTTCTGCATTTTTTTAAACCGTTTTCTAAGTTCAGTAATTATGACTTTTTAAACGCCAATGTCAACGATCTAAATGCTACAACTTAAATATACCAACCATATTCTTTACCGTTTAATATTTTCATATTGAATGTATTTAAAAAGAACATTAATTTGAATTAACTTTTTTTGCAGCATTGCCAACAGAATCATCAGAAGTGACAGCTACATCTGAAACTGATAGTGATAGCGATGATGATATTCCTGAACTAGAAAGTGCTGGTAATACTCAACCAACTGATGCTTTTTCTGCTGCTCAAGAGGATCCTGTTAGTAAATCCAAACAAAGCCGCAGTGAAAAAAAAGCAAGGAAGGCCATGTCCAGGCTTGGATTAAAATGTGTGACAGGAGTTACTCGTGTTACTATTAGAAAATCAAAAAATATACTTTTTGTGATAAATAGACCTGATGTATATAAAAGTCCTGCTGGAGATACTCATATTATTTTTGGAGAAGCTAAGGTATATTTCTTGTTCATATATATTACCATATTTAAGTCTGTCCTACGATGAGAAACATAATTTGAGCTGCCATAGTTCAAAGATTATTATACAATTTATTGTTTTTATTTTATATATTTTTTATAATTATTATTACTATTTACTCTTTTATTATTTGCTCTTTGAACTTGCAATGAATCATTGATTATGAGATCTGAGGACAATGTAATAAAAAAAGTTAAACATGTAGTTTCTATATGTGTTGTCATAAAAGTGTGATATGTAAATATGTATGTAACAGGGTGGCCACAGCTCCTCTAAAGTCCTCTTTTTTCAAAAACCTTCTCTAAAATCCTCTATTATCCTCTATAAAGTTAAAAATATCATTAAATATGCTCTTTAGCTCTTTTTTTTATTTCTTGATGGTAGTATAATGTTCAAAATTCATGGTCTGCAAAATGCGTAAAGTCTGAAATAAGAATTGGGTGGTAAAAATCCTCTATAAAGTTAAAAATATCATTAAATCCCCTCTTTAGCTCTTTTTTTTATTTCTTGGTGGTAGTTATAATGTTCAAAATTGATGGTCTGCAAAATGCATAAAGTCTGAAATGAGAATTGGGTGGTAAAAGTCCTTTATAAAGTTAAAAATATCATTAAATCCCCTCTTTAGCTCTTTTTTTTATTTCTTGATGGTAGTTATAATGTTCAAAATTGGTCTGCAAAATGCGTAAAGTCTGAAATGAGAATTGGGTTGTAAAAAATCAATTTAAGCAAATCCATGTCATCTAACAAATAATGTCATTGTTGACCCTGTCCGAACCCCAGTTATGTAGAAACAGGCGTTAAACCTTTAAAAAAAAATCTTTTAAAATCCTTTATTTTTATTCAAAATTTTGTAGTTTTGCAAAAAGAAAAACCTCTAAATTTAATGCAAAATCTCCTCTAAAATCCTCTGATATCTTCTTTTTCTTATAAAAATTTTATGTGGCCACCCTGTGTAATAAAAAGCATTACAAATGATTATTTTTCGATAATTCTTTTAATTTGATATACAGATATATTTTGTAAATAGTTAATATACTGAAAATGTTAAAAGAGAATATTTAGGATTGTGACAATATGTAGTGACATTTTACTAAATGTGACAAAATTAAAAAGTTTAAGGTTATAGAAAACAGAAACAACAATAAAATGCTTTCTTGTATTTGTAATCAAAATATGTATCAACTGAAAAGCATTAAGGTTAAGAATAAATGTTCAAAACAATAGGTTTGATTAATTTTTTTTCCCCTTTTTTTATTTGCAAACTATTGCCAAAGAAAGGTTTATTTTTATTAGAATTTTAATAATATTAATGTTATTGATTTTTTTATTTCTAAAATACTGAAATTAAAATCTTGATAAGTTAGTTAAAATAGTTGCAAGTGTCAAAAGGTATTTTTATAATCTGAAGTTTTTAATTAAACTAATTTTTATAATTTTGTAAATGAGTAAAAAATGAGATAAAACTTAAAAGCTAACCTTGTTGCTATTGCATAAGCCTAATGTAAATAATTTAGCCTATCTGGTGTTATTTATTGTTTCTTGTACATATTTCAGGAATTGTTTTAAGAAAATATTTTTTAATGGGTAAATGTGCCCTGTGATGAGAAATGTTTACAGAGCTGCTTATGTTCAAATTTTATTTTAATATTTATTTTTATTATTATATTTATTTATTTTATTTTATAATATTTATATTTTGAACATGCAATGATCATGGATTATGAGATCTGAGGGCGTAAATAATGGGGGGGAATGTGGATTATTTTGACGATTAGACTATTTCAACAATATTAGATAATATTTTTCTTGACTGAAATACATGTTGTTTTATAACTATATACTAAATTAACTTTTAAAATAAGATAAGATATTTTTTTAAAAAAAAAATTTTAATATTATTGTAAGTAAACTTATATATCAATCGACAATAGTTTTTATTTATGAAGAGTTGAACCAAAAAGGAGCAATGTGGCTCTATTAAATCTGTTTATAACAAAAGACTTGCTTTATTGGCATATTTATTTAAATTTTTTTTTTTTTAATTGCTTATATCAGACTTGGCCAGGAAAACATTCGATATCACACTATAATATGACCACCATATCTAAAAATATGAAAAATCAAATAAAAATTAATATAAAGGGATCCCAAACCTCCAAGACATGTTGTGTTCATATCAAAGAGATGATTAAAAAAATATTTGGGCTAAATTTCTTTGATTAAAACAAAAAAATAAATGCTTACCAAGAGAAACTAACTTTTTTTAACTTTATTTAAAGCTTGCCTTCTTCGTTTTGTTGTAGACCAAAAAGTCAGCATTATGTACAGCACAATCTACAGACTTGATAACTGAACCAAGCGTGATTTATTCGGTACATGATGTCATTGTTTGTAAAAGATCAATTATGTAATCAAACTAAAAAGTCAATGATGTCATATATTTAGCAATAAAACAGGCTTGAGTAATCAAGTCTGTAGATTGTGTTGTATATTATGCTGACTTTTTGGCCTTCATTAAAACAGAAAAGGCAAGCTTTTGCCTATTAAAAAATGTTAGTTTTTCTTGGTATGAATTCATTATTTTGTTTTAATTTAAAAAAATTTGGTTTAAATATTTTTTTAATTATTCTCTTTAATATGAACACAACATGTCTCACAGGTTCGGGATCCCTTGAACTTAAATAAATAATAAACTTTAACAATAAGATTATTTAAATTATGTTTGAAATAAAATCGCGTTGTTTATCTTTACTAATGTTTTAATATTATGGTAATGATTTAATAATATAGGAAACACTTTTAAATTAAGTAACAACTTACATATTTTTTATTCAATGAGAATGCACATTTAAATGTTAAAAAAAAGATTCTTATTAATTCTTTGTAGTAGCGTAAACAAAAGAAAAAATAATTTTTAATAAGTTGATATAATTATGTTGTTTGAAGAATTTTTTACAAGAAATAATAAATAAATATAAAAAAATATATGATATTTATTAATACTTTATAAAAACATAATAAAATATCAGTTATTTAATCGAAATAGTATTTTAAAAAGTTTTTTTCTTTTTTTTTACTTTGCTTCAAAATCTCTTATTTTTGAGTGTATTAACTTTTATGATTCATACATAATGTTTATAGATATTCATATATAATGTTTAACGAGGCTTTTAAATTTAATCATTATTTAAGGTTGTCGTTCATATAATAAATTATTATAATGTTACTAAAGATGATTGTGTCCAAGTTATTGTTTATTGTTAACATATTTAATAAGTCAATTTTTTCAGCGCATTTTTAAAATGTTATAAACTGATCAAATTGTCAAAACAAAATATTATTTGTGTGGTCTTGACTTGTTTTTGCATGCCTTTCTTGCCAAGCTTGGTGTATATATTTTTCATAATAAAATTATCTTTTTTTGTTCTGTTTCAGATTGAAGATTTAAGTCAACAGGCACAAGTACAGGTGAATAAAAAGAAATATTGTTTTTTAAGAAAGTTAAATTTATCAAGGACAAGTACAAGCATTGTTTGATTTTTTTTTCAGGCTGCAGAAAAATTCAAAGCACCTGAACCAGTAAATGCCAGTGCAGCAGAATCTAAGACAGAGCTTGTCAAAGCTGAAGAATCAGACGATGAAGAGGTTTTTATCGTTATTTTTATTCTTTTCACTGCTTTGTTATCAAAGTACTCTAAAATTTTGAAGATTTTAATAAAAGTCATTTAAATATTATGATTATTATTTGTTACCTTCACTTTCTGAACCATGTTAGTCAAGTATCTAGTTGTTTTATAAACAAATGTTTATAAATTAATTATGGTATTCAAATGTTAGCATTGGTTATTAAATGAAGGTATAAAAAATGCATTAAATAGAAACTTTTTTAAATTAAACTTAAAAAGTTTACTATGTATTAAGGTTTTTCTATAAATTTGCAATAATTTTTGTTTGTCATGTAATCATGATATTACAATTCTAACATGTAAATACAATTTTAAGTTCAAAGAATTTTTTTTATAAATATATCCTTAATTTTTTATATTTTATGTATAATTAGAAGCCACCAGATAGTAATGTGGTTATAGATATATCTTTGTTTGACATTAATTTTTATAAATCTTGTTATTTCTTTGCAATGCAAATATATTATAAGTATATTTAAGTATTCACTAAATACACCTTCTTTTTTTTGAGCCATGTTAGTCATGTATCTAGTTGTTTTATAAACGATTGTGTTCATAAAATAGTTATGGTATTAAAATGTTAGCATTGGTTATTAAATGAAGGTATATTAATGCATATAATGAAAACTCTTTGAAATTAAACTTAAAATAGTTTACTATGTATTTGAGTTTTTTTCATGCTAATATGCAATATGTTATCTGTACTAATATTTCTTAATTATATAGAATGGTAATATGGGTATAATGCTCTTCTATTATTTAACTAAAACTTTTTTTATTGTAACACTTAAGTAAATTTATCAAGAAGGTTATGTTAGGTTAAAAATAAGCTTTATTGTTATTTGCATAATATAATATATAATACTAAAAATGCAGTTACAATGCTAGAATGTTTAAGTTATATTACCCTGATTCTAAACCCTAAAAAAATGCAGTTTAAAATGTTAACAAGTAAATCTAAGTATAAAATAACTAGTTTTTGACTTAGTATATAAAATTAATTATTTTGTAATATTGCTGCCATTTTAAAACTAAATTTTACTTTAAAATCTTTTTTACTCAACATTATGAAGATAAAGCAAAGAATAATTTCAAAAAAGTAAATAACTTATGCCTCTTTATATCTTTAAACATTATTTTACATTTCTGGGACAGCATTAATTTATTCACACCAAACCACTCCTTAAAGTTTTAAAAAAAGTTGTTTTAATTTCTAAATAAACTTTAGATTAAGTTATGAGTTATTTAAATTTCCTAAACCAAATAATATTGTAATATCATTCCAGATTTTTAAAATATGGTTCGGATGATCTATGTATACCGAATTTGGAGAGGAGCCTTAATTTTAAATAAAAACAAAATTTTTGTTAAATCGTAACTGTATTTTTTGTATTATATAGGCAACTAATTTCTAGTACCTTTTTCAATGGTTTACAGTGCATCTTCTTTTTTTGAACCATGTTTGTCAACTATCTAGTTGTTTTATGAACTGTGTTTGTAAAATAATTATGGTATTAAAATGTTAACATGGGTTATTAAATAAAGGTATAATAATGCATAATATAGAAACTCTTTAAAATTAAACTTAAAATAGTTTACTATGTATTTGAGTTAATCTATATATTTTTGCTATATGGATAGATAGATATATACCTCTCAGAATTAGGGTTTTCATTTAGTGATGCACCTAACTGCCTACCTATAAGTGTTTAGGTTCTGCAAAATATCATCGACCTTAAAGGGATCCCAAACTCCCGACACATGTTGTGTTCATATTAAAGATAATGTAAAAAAAAAGGTTTGAACCAAGTTTTTTTGATTAAAAGTAAATAATGAATGCGTACCGTGAAAAACAAATGTTGTTTTTGCCGAACATTGCAAAAGAAAAAATTATAAATTATTTTGATTTTATAGGAGCAACTTGTTTTTTACAGATATCTTAATAATTTTTTGATTTATATATCTTATTTATATTTCTTTTGTTTTAAAGTTAAAACAAATATTAAAGCTTTACTTACGAATCTTATGATTTTTATACGAGTGTTTTACATTATATAGAACGTTATGTATACGATCTCTCGTTTTTGTGCAAAAGTGCGCAGTATTATATATTCTGAATCTTATTTTTATTTAAACAATCAGAACTTTTTCTAACTTCTCTGGTTATTTTTATATTATGATATTTTTTCTTATCCCGTCGAAAAAAAGTATTAACAATTTAATAAACTGACAGTATTAATTAAAGATAAATGATGAATTGTTAACTTTTTTTATTATAAAAATTTTTTGATTGCGCTGATTTATTTTAAAATGCTAAATTGGATACGGATAAAAAGGAAATATCATTTTATTTTACATTTGATTTTTGATAAGGAAACTTTTAAAATGTCGGCAACTCCATACCAATTAGAACCTGTTAAGGTTATGAAAAAAAATTCAAGAATACACTAAACAATACAGTTGACAATAGTATCAGATATGCAAATTCATGAAACGATATGTGAGATCTCGGTTTTGCATTAATAGTACAATTAATAACAACACAAGTTATAGATTTTAAGTATTAGTTTACTGTTCAATATTTTATAACCATCAAATAAAAACATGAAGTTTGTATATTTTTGCCCGTTTTATACAACTAATATTTAACAAAAATACAGACAAATTATTTTTATATAACGCAATAATTAACACATTAATTAATGGCAATAATTCAAGATAAATGGTAATTTAATTAGGTATTTCCCAATTTGTATCGTATTTGGCATCTGTCTCTTAACATGAAAAATTTTAAAACATAACAAATACAAATTTTCCATCAATTTTTCTCTTCCATTTTTCATTTATTCAAAGAAAAGTTACTATTAACTTTTATTATTATCGAAAAAAAGAATGAATGACTCAAAAATAAAAAAATTCTATACAACTCTTTTATTCATTCGAAGTTTAATACGCTTAACTTTTCTTTCTCTTTTGTTCTACTCTTATAAAAAGAGCAAGCAATGAAATAAAAAATTTTCTTTCTTAACATAAATTTATACTTAGAAATAGAATTAAATTAGAAATAAAGCAACAATGAACAAAGCAACTAACAGATTAATCTGGGACTATTTTGATATTGATGAAAATAATCAACATGAACAACATTACCAACAGCGATTATTAAATAAACAACACAATATCTCATAATTTTAGGGGCTTTTTATTTTTATTGCTTAGTCGTTTTAAATAATAAGTAAATTTAGTTCAAGTTAATATTTCAATATTTACAGTTGCAATATAATATAGAAATAATGTTTAGTGTTAAACTTTTTATTTAATTATTTATTTTTTGCCTACATTTGTTATAAAAACCTTTTAAACCTCCGTCATTAAAATAATTTGTTTTGAATATATTTCAAAATGAATATTCAAACTAATTTTTTTCGCTTGACTTCCCGAACTTCATGTAAAGCAAATTGAGACGAAATATTATCTAACCAAATAAAAATGCTTTTACTAATTTTATACAAGTAATTAATGTTAAACATTTTTTTATCAGAGTCTTGATTGAGATAATAAATATTCATAATTTATAAACATAGCGCAATAACAATTTATAGCAACAAACCAGCATAAAATATTTAAGGTTTTAAATATATTTTTAAATATTAAAAAAAAAAACTAAAAAATAACCAAAAAAAACTTTGACTAAAAATAAATGAAAATATTTCCAGAGTTTCTTTTCTTCAAAGGAATTGCCAAAGTCTGTAGATTGCGACGCATAATTTGAAGACTTTGATTTATTGAAAAAAATGGAAAAGCCGAGCTTCGGCAAAAACAACAACATTTGTTTTTCACAGTAAGCATTCATTATTTATTTTTAATCAAAAAAAACTTGGTTCAAACCTTTTTTTTTAACATTATCTTAAATATGAACACAACATGTGTCGGGAGTTTGGGATTCCTTCAATTCTTTGTTTTATGGTAACTCTTGTATCAAAATATTTTTGCAGACGTCTAAAAGTTTGAGGTCAGCATTAAATTGCTGATCTCATTTTTTACTAATTCCAAAAGTTGTTTATATATACATGTGTATATATATATATATATACATAAATATATATATATATATACATAAATATATATATATATATACATAAATATATATATATATACATAATATATATATATATATATATATATATATATATATATATATATATATATATATATATATATATATATATATATATATATATATATACATAAATATATATATATACATAAATATATATATACATAAATATATATATATATATACATAAATATATATATACATAAATATATATATATATATATACATATATATATATATATATATATACATATATATATATATATATATATACATATATATATATATATATATATATATATACATATATATATATATATATATATATATATATATATATATATATATATATATATATATATATATATATACATATATATATATACATATATATATATATATATATATATATATATATATATATATATATATATATACATATATATATATACATATATATATATACATATAATATATATATATATATATATATATATATATATATATATATATATATATATATATATATATATATATACATAAATATATTAATGGTTTGCTAATTAATCTGCATCAACTTGATTAACTACTTTTTTGTGCAAACATTAAAGCATTGTTATCTATGTGTTCAAGTATAGCCTTCTATATGATTATTGTTTAGATATCTAAATTAATAAATAATTCTAAGTTCAAGACCTACTTTTGCAGCCAGCCTTTAACCATTATCACATTGTGGTAATGTTGCTTCTCTTTTCTACTTATACTTTTATGGGCACTGGTCTAAAGAGCTAGCACCTCTTGTACCATCTGCTAAAATTCATTCCTGATTCATATAATTTTCAATCTAATTGTCAATCATCTTGCTCTACAATCTTCATCTTTTCTCTTCCAGTATCTTCCAACTCTAATTAGTTGTTCTTTCAGCCTTGTTTGAAGTGAAGATGTTTAAAAAAAAAAAGAAGTACATGGTAACAAAAACAAAAAAAATGTATATATTTTCAACTAAATTTTTCTAATATTTTTTAAAATAACGGTTTAGCTCCAAGTATTTGATTACCGGTACTGATTCTATGAAAAAATGTACACTATTTAAAGTTTATATTTTCAAAATTTTAATAATTAGTTAAAACATGGGTTTTCCATCGGCCCAAAATGTGCTATCGGTACATCACTAGTGTATTTACATACTTCTTTTAGTATTTTTATTTTTGTATAATTTGAAAATTATACTCGTAAGTTTGTTTTAATTTTCAGGTTGATGCAACTGGTGTTGAAGAAAAAGACATTGAGTTAGTTTGTCAACAGTCGAATGTGTCACGAAACAAAGCTATTAAAGCTCTTAAAGCCAATGACAACGATATTGTTAATGCAATTATGGTGAGTATGATAAAGTAATGCTTTGATTATTAAAATGTTTTACTATATTTACTTGATCAACAAAATTTTGTTTTTAGGAGCTGACAATGTAATTTCACTTCAATTTTTTACACATAATGGTTCGACTTTTATACTGTTCGTCTTGTGAAAAGACGTCTTGCTAAAGAATCATTAACTGTTTTTGCTATGCCCATGTAACATAAATCTACGTCATATACGTCAATAGTTTGTTAGAAGTGAATGTTTTACTTCTGAGAATCTTTGTTCTTAGGTTTTGGCCTTAGCCTAAAGCAGTGAAAATTTTTATAAAACATATCTAGTTAGTACTAGTTATAACTGATTCGCAAGCAGAAAAAAAGATTTTTATTATAGTAAGTATTAAATCTCTATGGTGTTATTTTCGCCTCGTGTTTCAAAATATTTAGCAATAATGTAATGGGAGATTAAAAATTATCTTAAGCTTTTATTACATTGTTGAGAAATTAGCTAATTGAACATCAATTTTAATTCCATTTAAAAACGACGCATATTTTTGCTACATAACGTTACATATTGAAAGTAAGAATTTGAATAGATTTAATCTCTCTGGCGGAGTCCGAGTTAAGGTGTACATTTACATCAAACCTTATTTTTTCATATTTTCAAAGATTAATTTCAAATTATCGTTATGTTATTAAATTCAACTAAATTTTAAGCGTTCTTGCATGTATTTTGCATGCAAAATTCTCAACCTCATTAAAGTGGCCTTTGCAAAACGCGTAACCTTAAATCTCTCAGGGTACTTAAGATATATTAGTGAATAGGTTTAGTTGAATTTTGATTCAACAAATTAATGCATTACTTTTAAAGCACAGTAAACCTGATTTAGTATAGATATCAACTCAGGTAGAAACTAAAAGCGCAAGTTACTTTAATTTGACTCCCACATCTAGAAATATTTACTTTAAATATGCAATAAATCAAATTTGAGAGAATTTAACTAAAAGAAATTTTGGCCGCATTAAAACGATCGACGAAATCCTGGTATTTAGTTCGGGTAAATACAAATGAGCTCTTGCTTTTACTCGGTAATTGGTCATAATTTGGTTGACTAAAACTTGCCCAGTTATGTTAAACTGAGCAATCGCACAGTAATAATGTTAATTAGTGAATAAAAATTTGAGCTAATCTCCAGAAATTTTCAATCACTGAGTAAAGCGATTTCTCAGATTTTATTCGGTTTGGCTATTAATCAAATTTTATTTTATAAGTAAAATGAAAGAGGGCGTGAGTACTCCATAATAAACAAAGGTTGATCGAATTAAGCTTTAAAATAGTCAATTAATTTTTTACATACGTAGCAGTAGTTACCCTAATGTGAATAATATTGCTAGACTTAAAATAGTAGTAGTGCCCTCTATAGCACGCCTGACGCAATTGTAGGCAGACATTGCAACCGAGAAGAAGTCGTGGCACTTAGTTTTAAAAGAAAATGTGAACGTTAAGTGTATGTTAACTTCAAATTTTATAATATTGAAACTCAAACATCAACTTTTACATTATGACTTTTATTTGAAAATTGTATTGTGCTAAACTCTCCTTAATAAACTTTGTAAACATGACACAACGGGGAGTGGGGGAAGGCGTTGAAATCTGTTGCGTATGTGTTTTGATTAAGATATTTAATTTATTTTAGTTTTAATTTTTAAATAAGTTCAAAGATAAGTTCGTGTAAGAAAAATGAGTAAAAGGAAAAGGTGCGCGTGGTAAATTTTATTGCCCAACCCGTATTTTATGAATCCGGAAAGGTAGGATACATATATATATTTAAGCAAAAAGTATTGAAAAGGTCAGCGTGGAATAGACTCACAAAGACCCGTAAAAGTCAGATCATCTAGTTATAAGTAATTGTTCATATTAATTATGTTGAAAATAGTACCTTTATCAACAACGAAAAAATTACAGCAATACTCTTTTACGAAAACAGAATGTATGATCACTTCTTGGACTTGCTTAAATCATTTTGGGGGCCATCCACATATTAGGTACGCACTGAAGGGGAGGTGTCCCGAGTTGAGTAATTTGCACACGAGTGCGTTATGAACAAATGAATATCTGCAGTTAAAAAAAACTTGAAATTCCTAATAATTTTATTGAAGAAACTTGTAATCTATTTAATATAATTTGCTTAACAGAAACATGGTGCAGTTCGGATGACGTAAGTTTTTTTACCAATTTTAAACTACCGGATTTTAATGTAATTTCATTAGCACGAAAAACAAATAACGGTCTTATTTAAGTTAAATAAACTTACGATATTTTACCCGGCATGACATGAGCATCTCTGATGCTGATAAAGAGGTTTGAACGATCGAAATTCTATCCAATAAAATAAAATTCTAGATAGTTGTTATCGCCGACCTTTAGGTTTTTATGTAATAGGCCGTGTGAATAAAAATGAGCAATTGCTTTTACTTAGTAATTGGTCAGCTTTACGTTAATAAAAACTTTAGTAGTTTTACTGATATTTTGATTTACGTGAAACTAAGCAGTTTACTCAGTAATTGTTCAGCTTTACGTGAATAAAAACTAAAGGAAAATATTTAAGTTTTTATTTACGTAAAGCTGACCAATTACTGAATTCAAGCAATTGCTCATTTTTATTCACACGGCCTAATGACGTTATTAAAAAAAGTAAACCACGAAAATGAATTTATCTACCTAAGCCCGTTCTCCATTCAGAACGTTTTGCGCGGAAAATTTTTTTGATCATGCGCAAACAGTTTTTTTAAACCCGTTCTCCAATCAGAATTTTTTGCGCATGCTCAAAGAACTCTTCCGTTCCTCCTAAGCGCAAATAGTTCTGAATGGAAAACAAGCTTTAGTGGGTGATCTGAATTTAGATTGTTTTCAATACCACCTCAATAATAACATTAAAAGTTTTATGATGGCATTTTTGAAAATGGTGCGATTCCTTTGATTAGCAAACCGACAAGAATTACTTAATCAAGTTTCCTCTTTAATTGATAATATTTTAACCACTGATGTTTTTAACGAATCATTAAAAAAGGGCATAATTAAAAATTACATATCTGATCATTTTCCTATTTTCTTTTCTATAAATATAGATAATAAATTAGTTCCTAATGAAAAACGAGTTTTTAAAAAGCGAATTTTTATAAATGAAAACCTTAAATCTTTTAAGGAACAATTATCTTTAATTGATTGGAGCATTTATTAACACCTCTGATGATACAAACTTAGTTTATAACTCCTTTTTTAAAACTTTCTATGATATTTACGAAACTGATTTCCCTGAAGTTAGTTTATATCTTAAAGCTAAAAGTATTAAATCGCCTTGGATTACAAAGGGTTTGCGGAAGTCTTCAAAAATTAAACAAAAATTATACATTAATTACTTAAAATCTAAAACAAATGAAAATAAAATTATATATAAAAATTACGCTAAACTTTGTGAAAGCCTCAAGAAAAAACAACAACAAAAAAAATTATTATTTAAATTTACTAGATATAAATAAATTAAATTTTGAACGCACTTGGTTTATAATAAGAGAAATTACTGGCAGCAAAAAATGTACATCTCACTCTTTGCCAAACACGGTTAAACATAATAATAAATTTTTATATGATAAAAGACAAATTACGGAAAAATTTAATAAATATTTTGTGTCTGTAGGACCAAATCTGGCAAAAAGAATTCCTATAGCTAACAGTTTAATGAATGATCTATGTTTCCCTCTAAACTCTTACTTGAACTCTTTTGAATTATCTTTTAAAGAGTTTGAAAATGCCTTTAAAATGTTAAAATCTAACAAAGCAGTAGGCGCTGATGGTATTAATGGCAACATTATTATAAGTTCTAAAAGATATACTCTTTAAAATTTTTTCAATATCAATTAAACAGGGAATTTTTCCACAAGCTCTAAAATTAGTAAAAGTCATACCAATATTAAAAAGTGGTGACATTAAGAATATAGGTAACTATCATCCTATTTTACTCCTTTCTGTATTCTCTAAAGTTTTAGAAAGAATTTTGTACAATAAAATTTATAGTCATCTTACTTTAAACAATTTATTATACAGCAATCAATATGGATTCCAAAAAAATAGTTCTACTGAACATGCCATTCTACAATTTACAAGAAATATATCTGACTCATTTAAAAATTCTCAATTTACTTTAGGTGTTTTCATTAATTTGGCGAAAGCTTTTGATACTATAGATCACAAATTCTTAAAAAGTTGGAGTGGTACGGAATTACTGGAAAAATATTAATTTGGCTAAAAAGTTACCTAAATAGACAAAAACAATTTGTTTATGCGGATGATAACGTATCATCTAGTTTGTTAAACATTTCATGTGGAGTTCCTCAAGGATCCATATTAGGACCTCTCCTATTTTTAATATATATTAATGATCTACCAAAAGCTTCTAACCTAATGACAATTATGTTTGCTGATGATTCTAACCTATTTCTTTCTCATAATAACATTATTACACTTTTTAGCAATGTGAACATTGAACTAGTCAAAATTTCCGAATGGTTTAGATTAAACAAACTCTCACTAAATATTGATAAAACTAAATGGATTCTTTTTCATCCTTATGGTAAAAAGCACCAGCTGCCTAGCAACTTACCTTTTCTATTTATCGTTAACATAGTTATTAATAGAGTTTTAGTGACAAGATTTTTAGGTGCATATATCGATGAAAATCTTACATGGAAAGACCACATTGCTAATTTATGCAGTAAAATTTCAAAGAGTATAGGCATACTATTCAAAATAAAAAACGTTCTTGATAAAAAATACCTTAATTTAATTATATTATTCATTAATTCAATGCCATATCAACTATGCAGACATTGCTTGGGGTAGCACTTATAAAAGTAAACTTAAACCTCTCTATCGGCAACAGAAGCATGTAGCACGCCTTATAAATTTTAAGGACCGTTTTGCTTACGCCAAGCCTCTTTTATATGATATGAAAGCACTCAATATATATGAGTTGAATGTTTTTAATCTTTGTTTTATGTATAAATGCAAGACCTACATATCACCCGTTTCTTTTCGTAACTTGTATTTACAAAAAGATAGAAATAAATATATTCTAAGGAACGATAATTTAATTCGACAACCATTTTCTCAAACTAATTTTGGAAAATTTTTTGTTTCATTTCGCGGACCATTTTTATGGAATAGTATAGTTCTAAATACTTCTAAAGATTTTTCTCAA